ATTACTTTTAAAGATTTATTTATTTTCATTACAAAGTAGTCAGATATACAGACAGGAAAGGAGACAGAGAGAAAGATCTTCCATCCGATAATCTGCTCCCCTAGTGAGCACAACGGCTGGTGCTGTGCCCATCTGAAATCAGGAGCCAGGAACTTCCTCCAGGTCTCCTATGCGGGTGCAGGGGCCCAAAGCTCTGGATCGTCCGACTGCTTTCCCAGGCCACAAGCAGGGAGCTGGATGGGATGTAGAGGTGACGGGATTAGAACTGGTGCCCATATGGGATCCTGGAGTGTTCAAGGAGAGGACTTTAGCCGCCAGGCCACCGCGCTGGGCCCCCCTTTTATTTTTTTAAATATGCCGAATAAAGAAACCCTCAGCCCTCCTGTATCTTGTTGCCAGGTTTTGCTGCATTAACTGTTAGTGTACAGAACTGGTAGACGAGTGAAGGACAGATGAGCAGTAACTAAGTTTTAGCCAGGTCTGGGTTTGTCCATGACCTTCAACTGTGGGACATTTAGCTAAATTCACTTGCTGCTCAACTCTGAGGTAGTTTTGAGAACTTGATAAGATGCTTTAAAGCATGTAGCATTAAGAAAGTGTAACAGCAATAGCGCTGTGGTTTGGAGGCTCAGACCCTGCTAGTTGGTACCTGTGTTAACCATTTGAATGCCTGGGGGTTCGTCCCCACACTGCTTATGATCCTGTCTCCCACGAACACACACCCTGAGAGGCAGCAGGGGATGGCTTGACTTCTCTCACCCATGTGGGAGACCAGGATGGAGGTCTGAGCTCCTGGCTCCAACAGGGCCCAGCTGCTGTGGGCACCTGCGGCGCTAGCCAGCTGACAGATTTCTGCCACTCAGTCTTTGAGAGAAACTTTTTTTTTTTTTTTAAATAGGAATGCTCTCTGAACCTTGTTTTCTTTTTTTGAATTATTTTACTTTACTGGAAAGGCAGATTTACAGAGAGAAGAGACAGAAAGATCTTCCATCTGTTGGTTTACTTCCGAAATGGCTGCAATAGCTGGAGTGGAGCTGACCCGAAGCCAGCAGTCAGGAGCTTCTTCCAGGCAGGTCTCCCATACAGATGCAAGGTCCCAAAGTTTTGGGCCATCCTCTAATGCTTTTCCCAGACCACAAGCAGGGAGCTGGATCAGAAGTGGATCAGCCAGGACACAAAAGAGCACCCATATGGGATTCCAGTGCTTGGGGCTGGAGGATGGGCCAATTGACCCAACATGCTGAGCCAAAACACTTAAGGTTTAAGGAGCAAGTTAAGCCTTTGCTAGGATTCTACAATGTGTTTGTAACTACAATGTTAGCAATACAGTCCATTTCTCCTTGAAATAATCACAATGCTTCTAAGTGATCATTCTGAAAAAACAAACAAGGGTTGTGGATTTTGAGCCCACTGTTTGTGAATGTGGAAGTCAAGACTTGGGGTGATGAAGTGGGTAGCCAAAGTTACACAGATGGTGAATGACACATCCCATGGACTGTCACGTAGGACCACACACAACCAGACATGTTAGGAGCCTGGGCTGAGTGGTGTACCACAATTAAGTCAACTGCAACGTGGGAACTGATGGGAAGCTGCTCTTCTAGGGGTCCAGCAGGTAGGACATGCACGTGGCACACTCAAATCGATTCAATTCTCAGCTCTGACTCCTGGCTCCATCTTGCCAACATGGACCAGGGTCAGGGCTAATGTCAGCACAAGGTGACCTGGATTGTGTCCCCAGGGCCAGCTTCCACCCAGCCCATCTCAGCTGCTGCAGGTATCTGGGGAGTGAACACTGCAAAGAGACTCATTCTGTCTCTTCATAATTTAAAATGCTTTCACTCTACACACTATTTCAGTGAGGTTGAGTCACACCAACAAGTAACCTAACGGAGTCATGCTGCTGTGCAAGCGACCTCATCAGAAGTCAAGTTCTCCATCAGGAAAATGGACGTGTGCGGATGACGCAGTCTGGTCTTCAGGAAAGCATGGTTCCTGCTGCTGCTGGACAGTATCAAAGACTGGATGAGTAAGATTCCCTGCAGAGTGAGTGTGCAAGCAGGACTTGAGCTCATCCTTATGAAGCAACAGCACGTCCAGTCAACCCACTCATCTCAGACAGTCCTCACTGGGAATTTCCCATGGCTTTTTTGCAACGCAACTCCACGGCACAGAGTAGGATCATAAAAGCTGTGACACGCGCCGCGGCTCCGGGCGGCGGACAAGCTCACGCACGTGCCGGCGTCCCGTGAACTTGCCACCTGCCACACTGAAGGTCACTCTGCTGTGAGGACAGGATTTGAGGGCAGCCGTGGAATCTGGTCGATGTCCTTAAGAAGTTAGGACAGTCCAGACACTTCTCAGTAATCTCACACCTAATTTCAACAGCACAGTCAAGACAGTGTTTTTAAATATGTTAAAATTTAAAAGACACTCTAATAAATTTGAGTATGCAATTTCATTTCCAAGCCCTTTCCTTGTTTATACATACTTCTTTTTAAGATTCATTCATCTATCATTGGAAAGTCAGATTTACAGAGAGGAGAGACAATGATCTTCCATCTGCTGACTCACTCCCCAAGTAACTGCAACGGTCGGAGCTGAGCTGATCCAAAGCCAGGAGCCTGGAGCCTTTTCCAGGTCTCCCACGTGGGTGCAGGGTCCCAAGGCTCTGAGCTGTCTTCCCACTGCCTTCCCAGGCTACAAGCAGGGAGCTGGAAGGGATGTGGGGAAACTGGGATAAAAACTGGCGCCATACAGGATCCTGGTGGATGCAAGGTGAGGACTTCAGCCATTAGGCTATGGTGCCCGCCAGGCCCGTCGTTTACTTTTTTTTTTTTTTTTGCAAAAAGTATTTTCACTGTTGATTTCAAAGAAAGGCAGGCAGGCAGAGCAAGCCAAGCCTACAAACGAACACCCACTGGTTCATTCCAGGGGCCACACTGGCCTAGAACGGGCCAACCAAAAGCTAGCAGCCTGCAACCGGCCTCCCGCCTGGGTGTCAGTGACCCAAGGCATGACCTGAAGCTCCCAGGATGCACATCAACAGGAAGCTGTAATGAGAAGCAGAGCTGCAACTGGAGCCCAGGGACTCCAGCACAGAATGGAGTGCCCCAGGTGCCAGCTTCATCATGCAGGGTGCCTGCCCCCTCTGCGCTTCAAGGCCCTTCCTCCTCCGGGGGACTAGTCACAGGGCTGCTGAGCCAGCAGAGGGCGTCATGAGCACTTCACCCCATGTCCACAGCTAACCACTCTCTGTAGCGCTCCAGTGTTTGTTAGTCCAAGAGCATATCTGAACACTGAACATTCACCGAGTATGAGGAACGGGACTTAGGATCTTTATCAGCCTTGAAGAAAACATGAAACGGGCCAGTGTTGTGCAGGCAGATTGAGCCAAGGCTTACACAGCCACCATTCCCTATCGGAGTACTGATGCTAGTCCCAGCTATTCTGCTTTCAATCCAGCATCCTGTGATGGCGCCAGGAAAGGCAGTGGAAGTATGTGGGTGTCTGCACCCATGGGAGGCCAAGGAAGTTATTAATTCTTGGTTTCAGCTGGCGCAACCCAACTGTTGTGCTCATCTGGGGAGTGAACCAGCAGGAGAAAGATCTGTCTCTTCCTGTCAATCGGCTTTTCAAATAAGTAAATCTTTTAAAACCCAGAAAACTGTTTCTGAAAACCTCCAATTAAGTAATCAGTATTCAATAGATCAGAAATAATTTTCCAATAAAATAAAGAATTCTGGACCCAGCGTGGCAGCCTAGTGGCTAAAGTCCTCGCCCTGCATGCGTTGAGATTCCATATGCACCGGTTTTTATCCTGGCTGCTCCACTCCCTTCCAGCTCCTTCCCTGTGACCTGGGAAAAGCAGCTGAGGACAGCCCAAAGCCATGGGAACCTGCTCTCACGTGGGAGACCCGGAAGAAGCTTCTGGCTGCTGGCTTAGGGCCACCTCAGCTCTGGCCGTTGTGAACCAGCAGATGGAAAATCTTTTCTTCTCTCTGTAAATCTGCCTTTACAGTTAAAAATAAACAAGTCTTAAAAAAAAATTCTGAATTGGAATTGCGGTGTAACAGGTTAAGTTTTTCCTGGCAATGCCAGCATCAGATTGTGACAATGGTTTCACACCTTTGCTGTTCCACTTCCAATCCAGCTCTTTGTTAACACATACATAAAATCACAAGCAGAGCTGCTGTTGTGATAAAACAAAATAAGCTGTTCCCTGCAACGACACCCATTCCATATCAGAATACACCAATTTGATCCCAGCCTGGTTTCAATGCAGCCCCCTGCTCACATGCCTGGGAATGCAGTGGAAAATGACCCAAGTGTGGGAGGAGCCCAATGGCATTCTAGGCTCCTGGCTTTGCTTCAGACCAGGCTGGCCGTTGTGATCACTTATGGAGTGAACCAGCAGATGACAGACCTCCCTCCCACCCGTCCTCTCTCTGCTTCTCCAATACAATTTTTTTTTTTTTTTTTTAAAAAGAAGGTGAAGGGCCCGGCAGCGTGGCCTAGCGGCTAAAGTCCTTGCCTTGAACGCGGCCAGGATTCCATATGGGCGCTGGTTCTAATCCCGACAGCTCCACTTCCCATCCAGCTCCCTGCTTGTGGCCTGGGAAAGCAGTCAAGGACGGCCCAAAGCTTTGGGACCCTGGACCCACGTGGGAGACCCGGAAGTTCCTGGCTCCTGCCTTCGGATCGGCATAGCATCGGCCGTTGCGCTCACTTGGGGAGTGAATCATTGGACGGAAGATCTTCCTCTCTATCTCTCCTCTCTGTATATCTGACTTTCCAATAAATAAAATCTTTAAAAAAAAAAAAAGGTAAAGAAACACTGTCTTAATGGATTTTAAAAAAGCAAATAGACTAGAGCTTTTATTTTAAAAAGTAAAGCAAAACATTCCACTGCAAGGAACGTAAAACTCAAAAAGAGGGTAATATTTATAGCTAGTTCTGGGGAAAAACTAGAAACTTTAAAACATAAGCTACTGGTCAGCAGCTTTTAAAATGTCATGTTTATTCATATTTTTCAAAATATATGTACATTTAAAAAAAGGAAGATTTACAACAGGAAAGATTGCCTTACATGCAACACAATTCCAATAATTCATGATGGGATCACACATGATTACGATGGAATTTAAGCCAATCTTCTTCAGTCCATTTCCCACAGTTTAGGCTTCAGAAGGGATCCCAGGAGACAATGAAAGTGGAATGAAAATGAAACAAACACCTTTTGTCTCTGGTAGCACTCAAGGGGCCAGAAAACGTACAGCAAAAGTTTAAGACAATAAAAATGTTAAGTGCCACAGGGAGGATAAATGATAACCAGAAACTGGAATTTCTCCAGTAGAAAGCTAGTACTACTTAACACAATCTCACAATATTGAAACAAATACAAGTAATAAAGGGGTAGGTAGTAGGGCTTCATTTACTTATCTGTTTTTAAAATCTCAAAAAAGAAGCCACTTGCTTAATATCAAAAGTGCCGTGGAAAGAAAACAGGGGAAAAAGCCCAGAGATGAAACTCCAATCTAGTTTATTTTAGCAAATTGTTTGTTTTTCCATTTAACATTTCTATATGAGCATTGAGGGAACTCTCCAACGTTTCCTTATAAAAAAGGCAAACAGGAAATGACAATTCATGCTCCAAATATTAAAATATATATTTAAACATTTGATCAAGATTTCTATGTTTTGATTTTTGGTAACCAAGTGACACTAGAAATCACAGACTCAATACATCCTTACACTTCCCCTTCAGTCAAAACTCAAATGGTACAGAGACACTGTGCGCTGTTCAGGGACTGCAGCACCAGGCTCCGTGAAAAACACCTAGAAAATCAGTGTCAAGAGTGGCCCCCGGAGCCGCCCGTCCTCGAACTGAGGGAGATCACTTCGCTTCTGGCTTACTTGCAAAGCTGACACGTCTCTGTATTTACAGCCGGAGGGAAGGATGAGTGGAGTGGTTTGTATAAATAAGATCTTGCGGCTAACGCAGCCTCCTCAGCAGGAGGTCCAACAGTCCCGTCAGTGCTACACTCTTTCTACTTCTAGCACCCGGCTGGCATCTGTTCTTGATGCTTTCTACAAATATAAAAACTTTTGCAACTGTTTACATAAAACTTGAAGGTGGGGTGGGGGAAGCGCCAAGCTGCCCATAAAAAAAAGTCTGGGGAAGAGGAGCAACAAAGGGCAAGTATAGGTTACATGGTTGAATAAAGTCCAGGATTATTGCAGAAATTAAAATGACTCAAAGAGCAGGCACTGAGAACAGCATCTCAAGCTAGCCAATGCCTACGTGTGTTTATGTATAGTCCCCTTCTCATAATGCTCGGAGAGGAGGGGGGCAAATGTAGTTTTAAAAACACCAAAACTAAAACAAATGCACACTGACCTTAGAAAATAAGATTTTGAATTCCATCATGATACCCTTATTTCCTATAAAATTTACTTTTTTGCTCTGAAAGATTTCTTCACGGTAGATTTGCCTTTAGCAGGCAGTTTCACTTCCTTTCTTGCTCTGGCAGCAGGCTTCTTTGAAGAGCCGCCAGCGGGTTTCTTAGAGACTGGGGCGGCGGGCCTGGCTTTCTTGGCTGGCGTCTTGGCCTTTGGAGGGGCTTTCTTGGGCAGAGGCCTCACTCGCCCCCGTGCGGCAGCTGGAACTTTAGGTGCAGGCTTGGACCCTCTTTGTTTCACGGCTGCAGCCTTCCCTGGGGACTTGGCTGGGGTTTTCTTCTGCAACCTGCAGGAACAAAAAAATCAAAGGTAATGACTTACTAAAGCAGAAATTCACTTTGCCAGGCCAGCCAGGTGCTCTGAAGAAACACAACACAGTAGACATCACCTATAATGACAATGTGACTCAACTACTTCCTAGTGACTTCAGTAAAACTGTTTAAAAATTCAGTCCAAAAACAAACAAATAAAAATGCAGTCCAGTTCATGGAAATCTATGCAAAATTTCATTTTCAGATTATTTTCTTTCAACAAAGTATAACTATATACATTCATACATATTTTGTATAGACATAAATATATGCTCCTAGAGAGGTTTAACCAAAAGGTTTACGACACAGAGTTTCAGTATATTCAGAGCCTCTGTATTTTCAGAGAAGATAAATTTCAACATCACACAAAGAACCTGAGAATTTTGAGCTCTTAAGACACTTTTCTATCTGAACCTTTTCCACAATGGCACTTTAGAAAGTTCATATATATCATGAAAAATGTACACATGGATTTCAATTTATTTTTGGCATCCAAATAAACTTCTCATTTCCCATGAACGTTTTGCAGCGCCCCTCCTTGTCCTCCCGACCCCACGCAGGGTTTCCACACACCCACACCTCTTAGGTGGTGGCTCTTCATCCTCAGAGTCATGCTCTGATGACTCATCGTCATCTTCATCCTCGTCTTCAGAATCCTCCTGCTCTTTCTTCGGAAACAGAACCCCCGGGCTAAAAAAACAAAAATCTGTTACAGCCAGCAGTCCACACAGGGTTAGAGTGCAGGCTCCACCTGCCCCCACCCAGGACACAGCCCACTGCACCCCAGCTGCCTCTGAAACAGCATGCTAGGTCACAAACGCCATGTTACAAATTATAAACTACTTGATTTCACAAAAAAGGGAGAGTGACACTCCGCATGGTCCATGCCGCGATGAAGGAATCATGTCTGGTTATGAACTGTAACAATATGGAGGAAGGGTCTGGGTGAATGCCACAGCCTATGAAACTGTGTCATAAAATGATATTAATTAATTAATTAACTTAAAAGTAAATAAAAGGGAGAGTGACAGAGTCACAGGGAGAGGCAGAGACCTCTTTCAATAACTGATTGACTCCCCAGATACTGGCAACAGCCAGGACTGGGCCAGACTGAAGCCACCAGAAGCTAGGAACTCCATCCTGGTCTCCTATCTGGGTAGAAGGAGCCAGAACACTTGGGTCATCAAATGCTATCTTCCACAAGCATCTGCACACAGGAAAAATGGGGCTCAAACCAGCCACTCCATCTCCTATGGGTTGCTGGCAGCACAAGTGGTGGTTATATGCACCACAACACTGGCCCAGTATCACCTATTTTGAACTCACATTCTTAGGACAAACCCTGACAAGCTCCAGACTATCCTTCATTGTCTTCTTCCTACCATTTCCTGAAATTGATCATTTAATGAGTAACCAATTACAAATTCCTGACATGTCCAAACTGAGACACTGAGCACATAACCATGGAAGGTATATCAGCAGTTTTTGCCTTCACAATTCTGGGTAAAGACCTCGAAGTCTTTCTTATAATCTGAAATTCACAAGGTATTTTTTCCCCAATTAGTTTGGCATGAAATTTTTGAAGAGCCCCTCATATACCAAAAATATTCAAGAGCAATTTGGCAAGAACTTCTGTTTTTAATTTTAATCTTTGAAAAGCAGAGTGACAGAGAAAGAGGGGGAAGGAGGAAGGGAGAAGGAAAGATCAAAGAAAGAGAGGAAGAAGGGTGGGGGGAGGAAGGGAGGAACGAAGGGAAGCAAGGAAGCCTCTACAGTATTATGGAAGGCAGAGCTAAGCTTCTGGGAGCAGTCAACGTTCTCCCCAGCTGGTATTAGTCATTTAAAGAATATATATCATTTCATTTTAAAAAAAGATTTATTACAAATTCTGGTTTACTCCCCAAGTGGCTGCAACAGCCAGAGCTGCGCCAATCTGAAGCCAGAAGCCACGAGCTTCTTTCCGGTCTCCCACGTGGGTGCAGGGTCCCAAGGCTTTGGAGTTGGATGGGAAGTGGGGCAGTAGGCATATGAACCGGTGCCCATATGGGATCCTAGCAGATCCCAGATGAGGACTTTAGCCACTAGGTTACTACACCGTGCCCTAATTTCCTTTTTTTTCCTCCGTTAAAGTATGAATTAATATTCTGTAATCACATTAAGACACTTCCCTTCCATCCTTTTCTTTTTTTTAAAGATTTATTTATTTCTATTGGAAAAGCATGGCAGATTTGTAGAGACATGCAGAGACAGAGACAAAGAACTCATGCCTACTGTTTCACTCCCTAAGTGGCCACAGTGGCCGGAGCTGAGCTGATCCAAAGCCAGGAGCCAGAAGCTTCCTCTAGGTCTCCCCGTGGGTGTGGGGTCCCAAGGCCTTGGGCCGTCCTTGACTGCTTTCCCAGGCCACAAGCAGGGGGCTGGATGGGAAGTGGAGCAGCTGATACATGGACTGACATTCACATGGGATTGACACTTGCAAGATGAAGATTTAGTCAATGAGCCATCGCGCAAGGCCTTATAATTTCCTTGAGATTTATTTTATTTGAAAGGCACAGATACACAAAGGAGGAGGGGGGAGAGAGACCTCCCATTGTTGGTACCCTCCCCAAATGGCCTCAACAGCCAGAGATTACCTAGCCCAAAGCCAGCACCCTGGAACTTCTTTTGGGCCCCCCACATGGGTGCAGGGGCCCCAGGAATTGGGCCATCCTATGCTGCTCTCCCATAAGCAGGGAGCTGGATGGAAGTGGGGCATCTGGGACTCACACTGGTGCTGGCGTCTCAGGTGAAAGCCTAGTGTACCATGCCACAGTGCAGGCCCTGAAACATACATGTAATTTTCTAATATTTTCCTGTCATTATCACTTAAAAAAGACATGAGTATCAAAATGACTGTCCAAGAATCTCAAGAATCGAGTGCTTCATTTGAAAAATAACTGGCTAATAAACTCCGTAGGACAGCAAAAACTCCAATTTAGTCTTTGTTTAAAAATTCATTTAGAAGGCGACAGGGCAGGATAAAGAATGTGTATACAATGCCCGTCATGTGCATGTGTTGCACAGAGACCTTCCGTCCGCTGGTTCATTCCCCCAGTGCTCTCAACAGGCAGGAGCGGGCCAGGTCAAAGCAACAAGCCAGAACTCCATCTGGTTCTACCACAGTGCGGCAGGGTTTCAAGCACTTGCGTAATGTTCATCTGCTATCACTCAGGACTGCATTAGCAGAAAGCTGGATCAGAAGCAGAGAAGCCACAACTTGAATCAGAAACTCAGATGTGATGTGGGCATCCCAAGCAGCAGCTTAACCCACTGCCCAGTTACCTGTCCCCTCTCCTGTCCTTATATGGAGACCTTTTGCTTCAAAACAATACTGCCTGAACGATTCTTCATTTTCATACACTTCCAGTTGTGTATAATAGCAATAAAGGTAAAACAAATTAAACCAATCCTATAACCTAAAATCAGACATTAAATTCACCAAGGCCAATATTTCCTATTAAAAGTGCTTACCGGTCCCGGCACGGTGGCGCAAGTGGTTAAGGTCCTCGCCTTGCACGCCCAGGATCCCATATGGGCGCCGGTTCTAATCCCGGCGGCCCCACTTCCCTTCCAGCTCCCTGCCTGTGGCCTGAGAAAGCAGTCGAGGATGGCCCAAAGCTTTGGGACCCTGCACCCGCGTGGGAGACCCAGAAGAGGCTCCTGGCTTCGGATCGGCATAGTATCGGCCGTTGCGCTCACCTGGGGAGTGAATCATCGGACGGAAGATCTTCCTCTCTGTCTCTCCTCTCTGTATATCTGCCTTTCCAATTAAAAAAAAAAAAAAATCTTAAAAAAAAAAAGTGCTTACCTGGGGTAATAGGGAAAACAGAGCTGGAAGGTGCCACTGAATCCTTTTCCAGAGATCTGCTCCATCCACCCGTTCTTTTCGCATTTCTGTAGCGTTTTCTTCAGCAAATGCACTGAACAAAAAATGGAAGAAAGTTGTCTAACTAGTCACACTGGATCATTCTCTCAACCAGTTCTGTTTTCTCACATTAACTGACATATGCCAAGTCAATTTTTCGTAGTCAAAGGAAATTAATTCAGTGACCACAAACTAGGAAATAATGAAATTAGAATGAAGGCTGCTGAGATGCACTTCTCATTTCCCATGTGAGCAAACACCAGCCCACACAGCTTCAGGGGCCATATGCTAACAAGACACAAAACCAGTGCTTCTTTCCACTCATTTAAAGAGGTGTGGAGAGCCATACAGCATTGACAAAAATGAACATATATAACCCCTTATAAACCAACAAAAAACACTGTGGCTTCTGAAGGTCTCACCAATTTTTTCAGACACTTATTTCTCAAAAGCATATTTAATGGTGATACAGTGTCTCAAAACCAGCAACACTGGAAAGATCACTATCCAAATTCATCTCTTAAAATATTTGGTTAATACAGATATCATGAACTAATTCACAGTGAACTACATGCACAATTAAACATTAGATATATATGCACACACACGTTTGCATGCATCTTACATAAACCAGTTTGCAAAGTAGATAGCAATTCTTACAGCAATTCTTTTTTTAAAAACATTAAAATATACATATTTCACACGTTAAAAGTCAAGACTTCAGAATTACCTTTTTTGAAAATTATCTGAAGTATTTTGTTTCAGAGCTTCAATCAATAACCTAAGTTGCATACAGTCTAAAACTGACTTGATTTCAAAGTGAAACTAGATGTTTTAGTAAGCATTCTGAAGTAAGCAAAAATACACTAAGAGGTTTTGTGAACGTCAGAATCTATCTAAATGACAATAAAATACGTGTCAGAAAAAGCTGTACATTTATACAGCAAGTTCAGTAACACAGCTGGGCGGGTCCCAGTCTTCCCGGCGGCTCAGAGGAATCTCACTTGCCCTGCACCACCAAGAGGGCCGTAGGAGGTTCCTGGAGAGAATGTGACTATTCTACTCCCAGGAACCCTTCTACTAGCAAGACATTCCAGACCTGAGAGGCGGGAGGATGCCAGGGGACTCATACCGAAACCCCTGACTGCAAACTGAACGCATCTAGGGCTCTCCCTGCTTCACTAAGATCCCACCTGGATGGCAGGTGTACAATTCTCATAATTAAACTGTGCCGGAGTTTTGATGTAACATGTGAGGCTGCTGCCTGCAGCACCAGTACCCCATATGGGCACCAGTTTCTTTCCCGGTGCCACTGGGAAAGCAGCAGAAGATGGTTCAAATCCCTGAGCCACTTACACCCACGTGGGAGCCTCAGAACAAGCACCGAGCTCCTGACTAAGCCTGTCTCAGCCCTGGTTGCTGCAGTCATTTGGAGACACTGAAAAGATTTACTTATTTTCCTTGGAAATCAAAGTTACAGAGAGAAATAAAAAGAGGAAAAAAAAGAGGGAGAAATCTTCTATCTGCTGGACCACTTCCCTATTGATGCAACTGTCAGAGCTGAACTGGTCTGACGCCAGGAGCCAGGGTCTTCCTCCAGCTCCCATGTGGGTGCAGGTGCCCAAGACCTGAGCCATCCTTTGCTGCTTTCCCAGGTCAGGAGCTGGATCGGGAGTGAAGCCAGAACTTTCACATGGGATGCTGGTCTCCATAGGTGAAAAACCAGCTCGCTATGACACCATACTGGCCCCTAAAATCTGAAGTTTTAAAGCTAGATTTTCCTTCTAGATTTTCTAAGTCAGTAGCTATAACTTTCATATTAATAATATGATTTCTAAAGCTGGTAAAATGCATACAACTCTGATGCTTACTTTGGTAGTTAGAATTGGTCCCCGGGTGGTTCTCCAGGACATATTTCTTCAAAGCTGTGGTAGAGCAGGTCTTGGGCTCGTTCATGGCAGCAATGGCAGACAAGATTGCATATTCCATCAGGCTTCCACCCAGCAGGGGCTTCTCCCCTGATTTCTTCAGCTGTTTTCCAAGGAGGAAGAGAAAAGCATCAAGACAACACTCTCCCAAAGCAGGTCAAGACAAGACTCCTCTGCACCAGGTGGGTCGGAGTTCCTGCATCAGCACAGATACGTTTTACAGTAAATTGTCAGAGTAGGGACTTTGTCTTCTCATTTTCCAAGGTATTCAATCTTTCTGAAGAGTCCCAACCCTCTTACTAATGCAGCCACTTCCGTTTACCCAACTGCCCATCCTAACACATCAACTAATAACCGACCCTCCCAATACGGACAGCTCCCTTCCAAGAAGCAAGTTAATCTTCCAAAAACCAACTCTCCAAGACTACCTTCTTTTTCAAATTAAAGAATGAAGCAGTCATAAAATCTTAGCCTTTAAAAAATCCTATCAGAAAAGCGGCTAAGGAAAATTCTGGTAGATACTTAGGGTACTGTATGACAAAAAGCTGGGAATAGATCAGTACTGACAAAAAGAGTAAAGGCGAACATGAGGAATATTCCACAGCAGTGGTCCTCAAAGGCTAGCCACACACAGGTGGAGGGCCATGAGACTCATCCTGCAGACAATCTGAAAGTTCAAAACTATTTCCATAACAGAACTATAATGTGATTTATCTTTGTCACTGTGTTGACATATATTCTGATTGCCTGAAACCAATGGTTGATAAAATTATTGCTATGAAGCAAGGTAAAGGCACTAAAATGTACCAGATGTTACACCGTCTACATCACTGCTATGCACTTAAGGTTAAAAAAAGTTTCTCTTAGAAATGCCTCTGAGGAAGTGGTAAAAATTATTAAACCTCAACTATAACATGTGCACCTTCTGATACTTCATGGGATGAAACAGGAAGAGTGAGTATCTGCTACATATGCAGCTAAGATACTAATCGTAAGAAAAGCACTGGGACTGCTATTCTGGTTTAGCTTACGCCGACGCATGCAATGCCAGCATCCCACACGGGCACTGGTTCGGCTCCTGTCCGTTCCATGATCCAGCTCCACTGCTTCACTCAGGGAAGTAGTGGAAGAGCGCCTCTGTGGAACCAACCAGGCAGACTCAGCAGAAGCCTCTGGCTCTTGGCTTTCATCTGGAAAAACCCCAGCCGTTTTGGTCATTTGGAGGCTGGACCAGTAGCTGGCAGATCTTTCTCTACTACTCCCTCTCAACTCCGCCTTTCAAATAAACAAAATAAATCCTTAACAAAAAAAAAAAAAAAAAAAAAGAGGGGACCCAGCATGCTAGCCTAATGGCTAAAGTTCTCGCCTTGCATGGGCCAGGGTCCCATTTAGGTGCCAGTTCATGTCCCAGCTGCTCCACTTCCCACCCAGCTCCTTGCTCGAGGCCTGGGAAAGCAGTGGAGGATAGCCCAAGGTCTTGGGACCCTGCAGCCGTGTGGGAGACCCAGAAGAAGCTTCTGGCTCCTGGCTTCAGACTGGCTCAGCTCTGGCTGCTGCGGCCAACTGAGGAGCGAACTAGTGGACTAGCGGACGGAAGATCTTCCTCTCTGTATATCACACACACACACAAAAATCAACGGAAGAGAACTGAGAGCCCATAAACAAGCTCTTATGGTCAACTGGTTTGCGGGAATGTGTCAAGAAAATTCAATAACAAAAGGATAGTCTTTCCATAAACAGAGCTGGGATGATTGTCTACATGCAAAAAGAAGGAAGCTCTCAGGTGTCATCAACGAATTGTCCCCCATCTCCTGGTACTGATGTTGTTTCTCAGCAAGGAGGGTCCCCCTATGCCTCCTCTTCCATGGACACAGAACACAAAAACAAAAACAAACAGCTTGGAGTGGTTATCCCAACCACTTCCTCCACGCCTGCCATTCCTAATCCTAATCAGAGGCCCATAAGGGCATGCATCCCTCTTAACTATGTAAACAATTAAAAATTTCACTCTTAGCTCACTGTCTGCCTTGGCCTCCCCAAGGCAGACCCTGGGCGGTAACTGAGTTCCTGCCGCTCTTGCAGAAGGTCTGGACCAAGCTCCAGATCCTAGCTTTGGCACCATGGCCACTGCACATCTGAGGAGTGAAACCAGTTGACAGCAGCTTTTTGTCTCATTATCTAATTCATAATTAAAACGAAAAATTTTAAAAAGTGCGTAATTTGAAGAGACATCTTACTGAAAAAATTAAATGGTCATTAATAATAGAAAAGATGCTTAGCATCAATAGTCAGCAGGGAAATGCCAATCAAAACCATGAAATACCAGCTCATATCCAGTGCCACAGCTATAGCTAAAACAAATAAACATACAGAACACAACTGTTGACAAGGACATGGAGAAACTGAAATATACACTGCTGGAGAAAATGTAAAATGGTGCTGCCATATTGCCAGTCTCTTAAAACATAAATTAATCATATAGGGTGCAATGTCATTGCTAACTACATAGCACATGAAAATAAAAGATACAACTGGTCACCGAGGTCTGGCACAGTGGTTAGGTCATTTCTTGGTACGTTTGGGGTCTATATCCAGATGCTTTGCTAAGACCTGGCTATTGTGTTTCCAATTCAGATCTCTGCTCATGCACACCCTGGGAGCAGGTGGTGACGGCTCCAGTGCTTGGGTCCCTGCCATGCACACACTGAATTCTGGGCTCTACAGCTTTAGTCTGGCTGTTGTAGGCATCTGGTTAGGTAAGGAATCGAAGATGAATCAATCGATCTCTCTCCCTTTCCAATAAAATGAACAGAAATAAAAATTCAAATAGCAGCATACAGCTACAGATAGGAAGCGACAATAATCCAAATGTTCATCAACTCACAAATAAACAAAATGTATTAGATCAACAAAATGAATACAATTTGCTAATAGAGTACTGATATGGGCTAAAACACAGGTAACAATAAAAGATTACACTAAGTGAAAAGCCAAACACAGGAGGCCACATAGTGAATGATTCTTTATGTGTGGAATGTGCAAGGAAGGCAAATCTAGAGAGAAAAAAGACAAGCTGGCTATGTGAGGCCAGGATGGGAACTGGAAGTGACTGCAGCTTGGCACAAGAGAGCTTTCCTGAGGGATGGAAATGCACTAAATGTGCAAATAGCTGTACAACTGTCACTTTATTAAAAATAATCAAATCATACAGTATGACTTCAACAAAAGCTATCACTTATTGAGTTTTGTTGTAGTATCAAAAAATGGTATTAACAATTCACCTTTTTTTCTAATTGTGTCTGTGTGAGGCTGGAAGTTCTTCTGGACATAATCCAAACCACATGGAAGAATTAGGTGACTTCTCTTATAGCCAGATATCAAAGGCATGTATAAAAATGTAAGCAGTGCAGCCTCTCTCATTAAAGTGTTTCATAAAAAATGTATCAGTTAATATACTGTTATATTTCATAAAAAATGTATTGCTATGTTAATATATAGTGTGCTTACTACTGTTATTTTTAAATAATTGATACAAGGGTCAGCATAGTGGTATAGTGGTCTAATCTTCAGTTGCAGCACTGGCATCCCATATGGGCACTGGTTCAAGTCCTGGCTGCTCCACTTCTGATCCAGCTCCCTGCTAATAACCAGGAGTGCAGTGGAGGATGTTCCAAATCCTTGAGCCCCTGTACGAATGTGGGAAACCCAGAAGAAGCTCCTGGCTTCAGACTGGCTCAGCTCCAACCACTGCGGTTATTTTGGGAGTGAACCAGCAGAGAGATGTTTCTCTGTCACTCCTTCTCTCTGAAAGTCTGACTTTCATGAATGAATCATCTTTAAAAATAGATTAATAATTAAAACATAAAGATCTTTGGGATCCCAATAAATTTTTAGAGTGCAAGAAGGTCCTCAAACACAAAAGTTGAAGAACCCTTTCCCTATAAGCAAAGCGTTCAGTCTCTAACCTGGAATGTCCCTGAAGCGCCTTTGCCAGTTATCTGTTCCAACTGGCCTCTTTCCACTGCTCTCTGCAGAGCATTCTTCAACAGCTGAGGCCTGCAGGAAAAAAAACAAAATATAGTGATAAAGGTATCAATGAAAGAAAAATGCAAACACAGGGTTAATCCCAGACAGAATGCAAATTCTTTCCACTTGCAATATTTTCTTAAAATGGGACAAAACAGCAAAGACAAACTACTGAGACCCCTTAACAACAGCGGCGTAGTCAGTGCTCATACACAGAACCCATGCCTGTGCTTTATGCTCTTTCAAGTCTCACCTAACTCTGAAATTTTTTAAGGCAAAAATCTGGACATTAAACATTAGAAATGCACAACCAAAATTAAGAGGAAATAAAATCTTGAGATTATTTAGAGTTGAAACTGGTGAGAACCTAAGAGGTTTCCAAAGAAATTCAAAGTTCAAAACTCAATCTTGGGTGGGCTACGTGTACTTTAAATAGTAGACAAAACTCCTAAGATTTTCAGACGAGATTGGGCGCATTCAGGGTGGTATGGCCGTAGACTCCTAAGATTTTCAAACATGTTGGAGGACAACATAAAGTATGTGTGTAAACCAGCATGTTCAGTTTTTCCTTTAGGATTGTAAAAAAGTCAGATATCAAACTAAGATGGTAACTATGGATTTAGTATGGAGCGTGAAGAGAGGTACACAATGAAAGAACCAGGATCTCGATGAGGGACCCAGTTCCAAAGCCCATGCTCTTCCTCACAATGCTCTCCGGCCCCTCAATCAATGACAGCACACACCTAATTTTTATCTCACATGGGGCACATTTAATTTTAAGAGAGGTCCAGGGCCCGGCGTGATGGCGCAGTGGTTAAGGTCCTCGCCTTGCATGCCCGGGATCCCATATGGGCACTGGTTCTAATCCCGGCAGCCCCGCTTCCCATCCAGCTCCCTGCCTGTGGCCTGAGAAAGCAGTCGAGGACGGCCCAAGGCTTTGGGACCCTGCACCCGCGTGGGAGACCCGGAAGAGGCTCCTGGCTTCAGATCGGCATAGCATCGGCCGTTGCGGCTCACTTGGGGAGTGAATCATCGGACGAAAGATCTTCCTCTCTGTCTCTCCTCTCTGTATATCTGCCTTTCCAATAAAAATAAAATAAATCTTTAAAAAAAAAAAAGTGGTCTAGAGATTTGCTGATCTATTCATTCATTTCATATTTATCAAGTTTCTATGACATGTGAGGCCATGGGTAAATAAAAAGTACCAGACCTTAAGAATCTGATATTCAAATGAGGCATACAGACAATGAAAAAATAAAATCCAAGTAAAATATGCAGGAGGGTAGCATGTGATGAGTGTTTTTTGTTTGTTTGTTTCCTTTGGGTTTTTTTTTTTGGTGGTGGAGAAAAATAGGCACAGAAGTAAGATTCAGAACTTGTAGAATGGGCCCAACTGCTGTGGCAAAGCAAGCTAAAGACTCCCTAGAAGCCTGGTATCCTATTAAAGGAGTTAGTCTGAGTCCTAGCTGCTCCTCTTCAAACAGAGCTCTTGTTAATGTGTCTGGTGGAAAATAGCTCAAATTCTTGGGCCCCTGCCACCCCTGTCCGAGACCAGGGTCAACTGGTTCCTGACTTGGGCCTGGCTCCGCCCTGGCTGCTGCAGGTATTTGAGGAATAACTAGTAGATATCAGAGCTCTCTGTCTTCTATCACCCCACTTCTCTCTTTCTTAGAAGAAAAAGAAAAGAAATAATTCACAATAGATAGATTTTTATTGGATTCTTTTTAGGAATTTTGTTATGGATTATATTAATATGATGTTAGCTTCTTCCTACTTTTTTTGAGCCTATTTGAAAACTTCCAAAATAAAATTTAACAATATGGGGCCCGACGTGGTGGCCTAGTGGCTAAAGTCCTCGCCTTGAACACACCAGGATCCCACGTGGGCAATGGTTCTAATCCCGGCTGCTCCATGTCTCATCCAGCTCCCTGCCTGTGGCCTGGGAAGGCAGTTGAGGACCCTTGCACTTGCATGGGAGACCTGGAGGAGGTTCCTGGCTTCGAATCAGCGCAGCATCAGCTATTGCGGCTGCTTGGGGAGTGAATCATCACCAGCTCAGCCCTGTTTGTTGCAGGTGTTTCAAGCAGGATAAGAGCTTTATTTGTCTCTCAAAAATTCAAGTAAAACAAAGCATGTTAGCAAAGTTGCACTGATTTCACGTAAAGTATAATCAAAAGGAAAGAAAGACTCGGAGGGAGGACATGGACTCTAGCTACCAGATTTAAGGGAGACAAAAGTAAAATGTGTTTCCCATCTTTAAAGTATCATACAATGTATTTCTTTGTATTTATAAAGATTTATTTTATTCGAGAGGCAAGCTTTACAGAGGAGAGACAGAGAAAGATATATCTGCTAATTCACTCCCCAAATGGCTACAACGGCTAGAGCTGAGTTTGATCTGAAGCTAGGATCCAGGAGCTTCCTCCTCCAAGTCTCCCACATGGAAGTAGCAGCCCCAGGCCTTAGGCCATTCTCTACTGCTTTCCCACATCACATGTAGAGAACTGGATCAGAAGTGGAGTATACAATTTTCCAGAAGTCATCACAACAAAGACATCACATGAACACATGCAAAACTCAAAGACACCAGCCAGGGTGGCCTCAACTCAGAGTGCCTGCGTTCAAGCACAGCTTGGCTTCCGCTTCTGCCTTACTACTCACCTGTAGAGCGGCAGCAGGTGACGGCTCAAGCAGTTGGCTCTGTGCATACTGTGCGCAAAGCCAAGCTTCGGCCTGGCCTTGCCCGGCCATTGCAGGTATTTCGGAAGTGCCTCAGCAGGTGAAGGCCTATGTTTGTCCCTCCCTGCCTTTCAACTAAGTTACAAAATTAAGAATTAAAAAAATAATAATAATAACCTTGAACTCTGGGGTAGGCCTTTAATACTGCGATTAAGACTCTGGGAACCTGAAACCCCTATCAGGGTGCCTGGATTTGAGTCATGGCTCTGCTTCCAATTCCTGCTTCCTGCTAATGCAGATCCTGGGAGGCAACATACAACGGCTAAGTTACTTCAGTCCCTACTGTCCACATGAGAAAGCCAAAGTGCTCAGCCCTGGTGCCAGTCTGGGCCAGACTTAAGTACTGCAGTCATTTGGGAAACAAAACCAGTAGGCGTAAGATATCTGTTTCTATGCCTTTCAAATAAAATTAAGAAAAAAAGAAAAACCCTCAAATTCTGAGCTGTAAACAAAATTCCTGCATAAATCTCCAAACTGAGAAATATATCAACGATCCTATTCAGTCTAGATGCTGAATGGCAGGCATTGAGACTTCATTATTTTTCACAAATGAATTACACCATCAAATTCGGTCAGAATAAATGTTAAGATGCTGTTATTTCCACCTGAGTTCTTTCATCTAAGTGGAAGATGAGTATCTAAAAAGATATACAGCTAATATGAGAAGAGCTACAGCAGCTCTTGTACAGCCACAGGTTCCACATCAGTGCATCCAACGAAGCACAGATTTAAAAATACCTGGATGAGCCAAGCACTTTGCCTATTAAGACATGTACATCCTAAACTGGTTCCAGCTTGTCGTCTCTGGTATCCCAGTGATGCAGACCCTGGGAGATGAAAGTGACAGCTCGAGCGACTGATACCCTGCCAAAAAGGTGGACACCTCAGCTCTGATCCCCAGCGCTTGTGCTTGCCCAGGGACTGTGGCTGGTATCTGGGGAATGCATCTCAACATAACAGCCTTCACTTTCTAAAGTAAATAAATAAAACATTATTAAAACTAAAAAAGAACATATGGTTAACTTTCTACTATATTATGTATAGAACTATGAAAATGCAAATATAATGTAGCAGGAAAAAAATCCTCAAAAATCACACAAGAATAATTTATCCCTAGCTTGGCTAAAGTCAGTCTTGAAAATTCATCCCATCTCCTTTCTTGCTCAGAAGGGACTAAAACGTTAATACTACACATTTGAAGGAGTTCAGCTAATGGCTCATACCTGATGTCCACCCTAAGTTTAGGGTAATACTGGGAAACATATTTCCTGATGAGACTGTAAGAAGCTTCTTTAGGTTCACAAAGACGCGTGAAGGCCAGTGGGAGCACATCTTCCAATTTGACTTGTGGTTCTGGATCTACTGCTACGCTGCTCTTCTGGAAGATACCAGAAATTACGATTAATATAGAATATACAACTCTCTGTTCCTCATTTGAGTGCCCAATCAACTGGCATAAAAAACAATTACATTTTGCCAAATTTAAATACTGCACAGCATGTAATGTCCCTTGTGTGGCAATTTCCTTGAAAAGAAAATTTCAGGTTGAGAGTTAAAAATATATTAAAGCCAAAAGGAAGGGTAGAATTTAAAATTCTTTATTAATTTTTAGTTTTCCGTAACAAAGAATGAAGTATAGCATCACAAAACACTGAAGTTTATCTTGACAGTGTTTTAAAATACTTTGTGAAAGTGTGAAAATCTTCATAAGTATAAAACAAAGATGTAAAGAAATATGATTTTTAACTGCCAACACACATGAAATACTAGGTGTCTATTTTAAATGACATTATCAGGTCTTGGAGAGATGGGTATTAGTGTTTAAAAAAAGCAAAACTTGGCAGTGGGTATAGATCTTAGGTTAAATACTGAGTAAAAATACCCTGTGTACTTCCTCTAACTTAAAACATTTCACAAACAGCATTACAATTCACATTGCTGCCCAAAACTCAACATTAAGCATTTAAGTCATCCTGGTTTCTACGCTCTCAAGCTGGACAACTTACTTACAGTTTCTGCAGGCCTTCATACAAAAGCTGCATTCTGCATAGTGCCAAGTACACAAAAAAATCTCAATAAACATTTCATCTCACATTCTAATGACAGTAGTACTATTATAATCCTCAGACTGTCACAATCTTCTTACCTTTCTGTTTCTGGATTTTTGAGGTGGTTTTCTTGATTTCTGGACCACAACAAAACTGCCAGAAGCACCTTTTCCTTTTACCTAGAGTAAATTAATCTTTACTTTAGATTATTCCAATTTATATACACTTTAAAAACATGTATTTATTTGAGCCTCGTGCAGAGGCCTAGTGGCTAAAGTCCTTGCCTTGAATTCACCAGGATCCCATATGGGCACCAGTTTCAATCCTGGCGGCTCCACTACCCACCCAGCACCCTGCTTGTAGCCTGGGAAAGTGGTTGAGGACGGCACAAAGCCTTGGGACCCTGTACCCATATGGGAGACCCGGAAGAGGTCCCGGTACCTGGCTTCGGACTGACTCAGCTCCAGCCATTGCGGTCACCTGGGGAGTGAATCATTGGATGGAAGACCTTCCTTTCTGTCTCTCCTCCTCTTTATCTGACTTTGCAATAAAAATTTTTTAAATCTTAATACACACACACACACACACACACACACACACACATTTAAAAGTCAGTGCCACAGAGGAAAACAGAGACACAGAGAGATTTTCTATTCAATGGTCAACTCCCATATGGCATTCCTGGCCATGACTAGGTCAGGCCAAAGCCAGGACCATCTTCTAGGTCTCCCATATGGGTAGCAGGTACCCAAAAACTTTTCTGTCCATTGATTCACTCCCTAAGTGGCGGCAATAGCTGGAGCTGAGCCTAACCTAAGCCAGGATCCTCTTTCGGGTCTCCCTTGTGGATGCAGGGTCCAAGGCCTTGGGCTGTCCTCAACTGCTTTGCTTTCCCGGGCCACAGCAAGGAGCTGGGTGGGAAGTAGGGCTGCCAGGACACGAACTGGCATCCATATGGTATCCTGGTGAGTGAAGGGTGAGGATTTTAGCCATTAGGCTATCGTGCTGAGTCCAAGATTTCTTTTCGGGGGCGGGGCTGGTGTGTGCCAGGATGGTGTGTGCCAGGCTGGTGTGTGCCAGGATGCATGCACCAGGATCCATATGGGAGCCCGTTCGTATCCTGGCTGCCCCACTTCCCCTCCAGCTCCCTGCTTGTGTCCTGGAAAGCAGTCGAGGACGGCCCAAAGCCTTGGGACCTCCACCTGTGTGGGAAACCCAGGAAGAGGCTCCAGACTCCTGGCTTCGGATTGGCTCAGCTCTGACTGTTACAGCCACTTGGGAGAGTGAATCAGTGAATGGAAGAGACTTCTCTGTGTAAATCTGACTTTCCAATAAAAATAGATAAATCTTAAAAAAAAAATCAACTATAAGCTTTCACAAATAAATACAAAAAACCACAAATATCCTATGTAAGGAAGGGTCAGTAAAAAAGGAGCAAGCATTTGGACCACCATGCAAAATTTTGGGGTGTTTCCAATCCCTCAGAATGCCTGATTCGCTTCCTGGATCCTACGCTTCCCACCCAGCTTCAAACGGTGCACATCCTGGGAGGCAGCACACGATGGCTCAGGGACTTGGTCCCTGCGACCCAGGAGAGACCTGGACCAAGTTTAGGGCTGTTGGTTTAGGTCTGGCCCAGCCCTCGCTGTGGTGGGCACTTGGGTTGTGAATCAGTGGATGTCAGCTCTTGCTCTCTTTCTCTGCCTTTTAGTAAAGGAAAAAAAAAAAAGGTAGAAGAAAACTGCTGGAAGGTAGGTAGTGTCTGAAAAGTTCAAAGCCTGGGGAAGCTCATATCTCAATGTTTGCCACCCTTCATCAATTAGACTATCATTCCTTTCCGGAAAGGTTATCTAATAGTTTTGCAGGCACTGCATACAATTGTATTAATTAGATCTTACCACATTGTTCCATAGTTTAAAAGTACGTCATAGAACTTCAGTTTTGGCTATTGCCAAAATCCTTCATACCTAAGTTTGCACTATTTAAAGCTGAAATGCTTTTGGCCTATTGTTTTGTTTTCTAAAGATCTGAAAGATTAGAGAGAGGAAGAGACAGAACGAGAGATATCTTCCGTCTGCTGGTTCATATCACAATTGGCCACAACAGCTAAGGTTGTGCAAAGCCAAAACCAGGAGCCTGGAACTCCAACGAGGCCTCCCCCACAGGTGACAGGTTCAAGCAGTTGGGTCATCCATCGTCTGCTGTTTTTCTCAGGTGCATCAGCAAGCAGCTGACTGGCAGTGGAGCTGCCAGGACTCAAATCAGTCCTCTTAGGAGATACTAGCACTGGAGGTGGGAACAGCTTAAGCCACTGGACCAAAAAGTAGGCGCCCAGTAGTACACCAGCTGTTTCAACTTCACATTCCTAGGATCATTTTGTGGAGGCAATAAAAAGCTACACAACCATATTTTCACAAAGAAAACTATGAAACTAGCTCATAAGTTGCACTTACACTATGTTCAGAGGAGTCTTTAGATTTGGCTAGGTAAAATGTTTCAAATGATTGTTTTCAAGGCCCACTGAATATCAGCCCTATATTATTATTTTAAAGATCTATTTATTTTCATTACAAAGTCAGATATACAGAGAGGAGGAGAGACAGAGAGGAAGATCTTCCATCTAATGATTCATTCCCCAAGTGACCGCAATGGCTGATGCTATGCCGATCTGAAGCCAGGATCCAGGAACTTCTTCCGGGTCTCCCACACGGGTGCAGGGTCCTAAAGCTTTGGATTGTCCTCGACTGCTTTCTTAGGCCACAAGCAGGGAGCTGGATGGGAAGTGGAGCTGTCGGGATTAGAACCGGCGCCCATATGGGATCACAGTGCATTCAAGGCGAGGACTTTAGCCACTAGGCCATGCCGCCGGGCCCCAGCCCTACATTATTCTGAGAAGACTACATACAACAGTAATCTGTTTCACTCAGATGGACCCCTAAGCACTTGGCACACACAAAAAAATAATATTAATTGCTGAAATCTCTTGTTGAAAGTGCTTAATCGGTGTTTAAATCTCTGTCTCTCCTGCCTGTAAATCTGCCTTTCAAATAAAAATAACAAATCTTAAAATAAAAATTCTCAGAACCATTTTTGCCAATATCATGGAATTTTGGTTGTTATTTAAACACTTTAGATCTTTCAAGAAAAATTAGACAAAATAAAATCCATTCAAGCCTTAGAATTCGCTTATTCTAAGAGATGCCTCTAAAAAATTATGTAAGAATCCAACATTGGTTCTAGTACCAGTCTCAACTTGCTCAGGCACCTCTAACGCTAACAGGCTTAACTGTTTATAGGTAAGAGCCATTTAAGGTGAGCCCATTTACAAAACTGCTTTATAATACTAAAAGATCTGGTCACAAGAGTTGGGCTTTAAAATTTAACAATCCCACACAAGAGCAATGATTATTTTTGCTACTGTAATAGCAGATTCTTTAACCCATCGTCTTCAGTGCTGCATAACTGCAAACATCAGTAACTTGGAATGGAAATCTACTTAACAGCACACTGGCTAGGAAAAAAGTAACACTACCTCTTTGCTCCTGCCTTCTAGAAGAGTTACACAGGCAAATGAAACAAGCGTTTTTTCCAAGCCTAGCTTCAGATTATAAACCTAGGCTAAATTTAAGTATTTCATCATTCTATAATTCATTTTTAATTGAAAAAGTTTGAATGTCACTAAGTATGGAGTTAATGAATGTTTAATTAAATTATCAGTAATTACAATACCTGTTTGATGACTCCTCTATTTAATTCTCTTTTCAATGCTTGTTTAAGAAGATAGCCCCTTCTCTCCAATTCCAAAGAAGGATATTTGTGGATGATATATTTTCGAATAGCAACCACGGATGCACCACTCTTTTGGAAGCATGCCTAGAAAACAGATTTATCAAAACTCATATATTACCTTAAATTAACTCTTTTTATCAGATACAGAATTTGACACATTTTTCCACAACAAATTATTCCACAACCACACTCGCTAATGTATGCTAAAGATGGTAGGAAAGAATGAACAGTATTTCAGGTAACTTCAGGTCACAACGTCTGAAGAAATACAGAATCACTGGGTGTATCAGCAACAAAGCTAAGCTGTTCTAAATAGCCAATGAGACCACAAGCACATGAACAGCGTTTTCTGTTTTAGCAAGAGTCTTTTCCACTTTAAGTCTATTCTGTTCGAATTCAGATCTTCAGCATCAAATGAGGAATGAGTTTTGGCACATCTGGCCCAATAGTCCCTTATAGGCAGACCATTAGAAAGAAGCAAAGACAGTCCTGAATAAAAGGCCTGAATCTGGTTAGTCTTCATGAGAGTTCTAGGTAACAACGGAGACAGGCAGTTTAAATGCACGTCTATTTCCAGCCTGTTCACTGGTACTCCATGCTCACTAATGCTCAAGGAAGAACTAAGCGGCTCATCATATCACATGGTAGTTATTGTTTCTTTCAAATGTTTTAAATTTTGAAGCACACAGAAGCACCTGTTATTTATCCAATGGGCTAGTCCACCAGTTTGATGCTGATATTGTCTATTAAAAAATGTAACACTTACTGTCTTTTGGTAAGGATGGTTAAGAAAATTATTTTAAATATTTCAACAGCAAAGAAAAATGCTTTAAAGGCTAATGGACCAGAAATAACTGTGTCAACACAAGACAATGTGGATCACTTAATCCAAGTAAATGTCTAAAAAAAAAAAGAGAACTAATGCTAAAAACAATCCCTTGCTCTACCAAACTGACAGTGAGAAACAGCTCCTTTTCGATACAGAAAATGTTCTCGGTGGTCTGAAGCTGTAATCGTTATATTACAAAGACACAATCACATTTAAACTACTGTCTCAGCTGAATTTATATTATTTTTTTCATTTAATTACGTGAAAAATTTCGTGATTTTCCTACTCTTCCTGTAACTTGCTCCTTCAAGTCCAGGCCAAGAGGTCATGAAGTAAAATCCTCAGAGAACAGGCTACATAAGGAGCAGATCTAACTCCAAGCAAGCGACCAGACCAAAAATGTTTTCTTAATGGGAGCAGACGTCTGAGGAGTAAAGAACCAGTCTAAGGCAAAACTTGGTTTTGGTTTTGTTTTTCCAATCTTACATCAGTGATAGCTAAACTATGCTTACACACACCTGCCGTGGTTACCCCCAGCAGGGCTCAATCGGAACATAAGCAGCCGTTTTAAATCCTCCTCAGGAATGAAATAAACATAGCAAACTTAGATTTTTACAATAAAAGCACTGAAAGATTTGGAGATACCCTTAAAAAAATCAAAATGATCACACAGACACATCTTCAAGTTTGCCACTGCTAGTATATGAAGCAAAACAATAGGGTTATAAAAGGATATTTAGTTCAAGCATGAAAGACAACCACTACCAATTATTAGTTGGTCAGCTTTACAAATTAATCTAAAGATACTTTTTAAAACAAAAATTCAGTGTTATTCAGTTAATTAGCAGAGTTATTTGACAAAGAAAGTAGTCCTTAGATATTTATAGAATGAATTTAAACTTTCAGTCCTAAAAGCTATAATGAACGAACTGAGTAATGAATTATAAATAAAACCAGCACCCTTAACGTCATTAGAAAAACACCCACTACACAATGGCTTTCCATCTAAATTTTCCAAAAGCAGAGCAAAATATCTGATGTCTGGACAAAAAGATTCCACTCTTAAATAACCAACAGCAAAACAAAAGAAATCTGAGATGAACTGCTTGAAATAAAAACTTGCCTTAATGGCCTCGGTTAGGATTGCATCCATCTTGGGCCGTGGGGAGGAAGCCATCGGTGTTTGTTTCTGGGCCCTGGCTAGCTGGCTGGCAGAAAGGGTAGCCCAGGAAGGTATTGTTTTTTTCACTTTCTTCTCCTTTTCCTTAGACTGATCTTTCTCACTTTAAAACAAAGAATTATTATTATGCAAAATACTGTCCAAAACAGTTGACCTTCTGTATCCGCAGGTTCCACACTGAGAATCAAAAATATTCAGCAAAAAGCTCTACACCTAACCTGTACATATATACATTTTCCCTTGCCATTACTTTCAAAACAATCTCTTATACAACATTGACACTGTTATTAGGTGTTAGAAATAATCTAGAAATGATGTAAAGTACATGGGAGGATGTATATGCATTCTATGCAACTACTATTCCATTTTATACAAGGAACTTGAGCATCCATGGACTTCAGTATATATGGGTGAGTGGGTACGGTCCTGGAACCAATCCTCCAAGGACACTGAGGAATAACCATCACACACAATCAGAAAGGGATAAAAACTGTCTGTCTAAACACAAGCTGACATGTTCAATAACCAAAAACTTACAAAACATTTTCAAAACTGGGTACATTATATTTATAGTATAGATTAATATACTATACACAATTATATTTATAGTAATCTAACACACTTAAATTAACAAAAAAGATGCTTTCTCTCAGGTGCTAGAGAGAAGTCATAAATTAGTACTCGTATAAGGACCTAAAGAAACGAGATTTTTTTAAAAGATTTATTTATTTTTATTACAAAGTCAGATACACAGAGAGGAGGAGAAATAGAGTGGAAGATCTTCCGTCCAATGATTCACTCCCCAAGTGACCGCAACAGCTGGTGCTGTACCAATCTGAAGCCAGAAGCCAGGAACTCCTCCAGGTCTCCCACACGGTGCAGGGTCCCAAAGCTTTGGGCTGTCCTCGACTTCCTTCCCAGGCCACAAGCAGGGAGCTGGATGGGAAGTGGAGCTGCTGGGATTAGAACCGGCGCCCATATGGGATCCCGGGGTGTTCAAGGTGAGTATTTTAGCCACTACACCACGCCGCTGGGCCCAAGAAATGAGATTTTCATTAACATACTTTAAAAGATGTATTCCCGTGAAAGGTAGAATGAGTAAGGGGAGAGAGGGAGCCTCCACTCACCGTTTCACTCCCTAACTGGTTGCAGCAGCTGGGGCTGGGCCAAACCAAAGCCAGGAGCCAGCAGCTCCACCCACATCTCCCGCACGAATGGCAGGAATGGCAGGGATACGAGTGCGTGAGCCATCACCCACTGCTTCCCAGGCACATCAGCTGGCAGGTGCATAGGAAGCAGAGAACTGGCACTCTGCAAGCAATGCAGAAATTCAAGCTTCAGCTCAACCCACTGCACCACAACACCTACCTGTGACCCTTATTTTTAAAATAAAACCCTTTATTTATTTTCATTTACTTGAAAGGCACAGCAAGAGAGAGAGCCAGAGATTGACCCACTCACTGCTCCACTTGGCCAGGGTGAAGTCAGGGCATCCCACACGGTGACAGGCTCCTGAGCCCTCGAGCCATCACCTGCTATCTCCCAGGATGCAGACAACGGAGACCTTTAAGATGCACACTAGTGGGCCTGGCGGCATGGCCTAGCGGCTAAAGTCCTCGCCTTGAATGCAGCCAGGATCCCATAAGGGCACCGGTTCTAATCCCGACAGCTCCACTTCCCATCCAGCTCCCTGCTTGTGGCCTGGGAAAGCAGTCGAGGACGGCCCAAAACTTTGGGACCCTGCACCCGTGTGGGAGATCCCGAAGAGCTCCTGGCTCCTGGCTTCGGATCGGCATAGCATCGGCCGTTGCGCTCACTTGGGGAGTGAATCATCAGATGGAAGATCTTCCTCTCTGTCTCTCCTCCTCTCTGTATATCTGACTTTGCAATAAATAAATAAATCTTTTTTTTTTTTAAAAAAAAGGATGTACACTAGTAACAACTACAGCAGATGTGATCTTGTATGGTGGAAAAAATGTTTTCTCCAAGTCAGAAAACTAGGTTTGTGCTTCGACCCTTACTGGCTAGCTAGGTAGAACATTTAAAAATATAGGGCAGGAGCGACTATTTAGACTAGCAGTTCAGACACAAGTCAGAATGCCCATGTCCCACATCAAGTGCCTAGGTCTGATTCCAAGGCAGGATCTCAGCCCCAGCATTCTGGTATTGAGGCAGTGGCAATACCTTCAGTGTTTTGGTTCCTGCTACCCATCTGGAAGATCTGGACTGAGGACTCAACCCAGCCCAGCCCTGCCCCAGCTGGGGCAGTAGACCAGTAAACAGCAGCTTTGCTGGCCAGAGCCACTAAAAACTTCACAAATCTATTAAACAGCAATAAATAAGTCCCTGCAAACTGCATCTAAAAGGCAGCTATTACTGCTGGTCCTTTATTTAAAAACAAACATCTGTTATAATAATGATGGAACAATACCATAAATACTGTTATCCCATAAAAACATAAAATTAAAAGAACAGTTACTACCTGATAGACACAAATCAATGGCAAACTTTGCTTTTAGAGTTCCAAAGCCACCTCCAATTGACTCCTTACATTATACATCATCAATGGCTGGATACAGACTACTGCACTCTAACAAAGGCAACACAAAAACTCGCTGTGTCACAGAGGCAGCAAAAAAATGATTTGTGTCTCCCATCCTGGATTTTTACAGCTACTTCATTCCTACATTTTGTCAATGCCTAAAACATCAGGCACTCCCGTGGTGAATTCTAAGCATAAGCACATATTCTAAAGCCAAAAGGCAAGAACTGGATTACTCAAGTCATTGTTCTGCAAATTCTAACAGGACCACACAACAATATAATAAACCTTCTTCAAATGACAAATTGAAAACTTAACCCAAATAGCAAATACCAGCATGAACCAATGTGATAGCACTTCCTTTTAAATAAGATCAGTTACAATCAGCAATAAGGCGTAATTCCTTACTCCTTTTTGGTTTCCTCAGCAGACTTGTTCTCTTCCTTGTCCTTGTCTTCCTTCTCAGGCTCTCCCTTTGGCTGCTCTGTCTCACTAGATGTAGCAGGTGGAGTTTCATTTTCTTGTTCTTCTACAGTAGAGATAGATTCCTCTGAACTTATATCTGGTTCTAAAAGATCAGGTGAGCAGAATTGCATCAAGCAGCTAGGTTAGCGCCTGAGCCAGTAAGTGAAGAGAAATAACTATGAGTGCAGTTTCATTCATCCTTTACAGATACTGTTCATTCAAGCTGTTTATTGTTTATTCATGTGACCATTGAATGAGAAAAGCAGATCAACCAGGAAAGCACAAGTTTACCCTAAATCTTAGTTACTCCCTTCTATAGCCATACTCATGGCTAACAAACGAACCTTTTTAAAATTCAAGACAAATTTTTTTTAAAAAGTAATAAATCCACATATATTTTAAAGGCAGAAAATTGAATCAAGAGCAGAAATATAAGGCAGAACGATGGGATGTTAAGTGTTCTGTGTATCCTTCACATGTCTCTTGAAGCAGCTATGCCTCGGTTATTCAATGACATCGACAGAAAGGAACCCCGTGGCAACAACTGGTCAAAGAGGAGTGTAGGCCTCCAGAGGTCCCCGCGCACTGCACGAGCTAACTACTGCACAACAATGACGACTTATTTATGACCCTAAGTTAAACGAATACAAATAAAGTTGCTTCTTTGTTATTACCAAAATAAATAAATATGATTTTTAAAGGAAATTACAGTTTCTCAACAAATTAAAATTCTAAGCCGTAATTTTCAGAATAGTTAATTGTTACTGCAAATCCTGTCCGGTATTATGTTCTTCAGTGAGACATGTACAGACTAACCTTGTCCAAACTCCTGTAACTAATTCAGGCAACATCAAGGTTTAGAGTCAGTGAAACCTTTTCTTCCCATTATTTTAAAAGAGAAGTTTATTTTACTTGAAAGAGTGACAATGAGAGAGATTCTCCACCTGCTGGTTCGTCCTTCAGATACCTGCCAACAGGACTATGCCAAATTGAAGCCAGGATTTAGGAATTCCAACTGGGTCTCACAGCGCAGGTAGGGATTCCATCACTTGAGGCACCCTTCACTGCAGCCCAAGTCCAACAACAGGGAACTGGACTAGAATAGCCACGACTTACCCTGGCACTCCAATATGGCAATGTAGGCGCCCCAAGTGGCGGCTTATCCTACTTTACTATAACTCCTGCCCCTGATTTCATTTTTAGAGTGATGATTTTCAAGCAAATTCTTTGCCATCTTCAAGTTTCAGTATCCTTACATCACAAAGTTGTAAAAATTATATATAAATACTGATTCTCATCCTCTGCAGCTTACAGAATTGTTTCCCACACACTTCAGATAATGAAATATTAATGCTATAACTTCATAATGATGTTAACAGGGGATACAGAAAACAAATGCATAAAGGTTTTCCATAAAAAGATTTCTTTTTAATGATGTATTTTTTATTGTCCCTCAGCTTAAAAATTTGATCTAACTTCTGTAAGTGTAAGAGTTTAACCATGTGTTTATATGTTGCCTTTTTTGGAGATTTATGTTTATTTGAAAGGCAGATTCACAAGATCTTCCATCTACTGGTTCACTCCCCAGTGGATGTAACAGCCAAAGTTGAATGGACTGAAGCCAGGAGCCAGGAACTTTCTCTGGGTCTCGTACACGTGTGCAGGGTTCCAAAGTTTTGGACGGTTGATTTCAAAGCTGGATGGGAAGTGGAGCAGCTGGAACACGAATCAGTGCCCACACGGGATCCTGACACTTAAGAGGTGGAGGATCAGCCAGCTGAGCTACTGCACCAGGCCCCTTATTTATACGATGAGCTGGGGATTTGGCCTACCAGTGAAGACACAGGTCAGGATACCCGGGTCTCCCACCACAGTGTGTATGCTCCCCGACTCCAGCTCCTGAGGTCAGCTTTCTGAGTTAGTGGTGACATCTCCCCACGTGGGTGGGCTCTTGCCATGAGCCTGGAATGCTTCTCGTATCACTCGGATGTTGTGGGTATTTGCGAGTGAACCACAGGATGAGCATTCTCGCTGTATTTCTACCTTTAAATAAGTCACTCTTACTTGTTTTTAAATAATTTTAAGAAGTGCCTATTCTTTATTTTTTTTTATTGGAAAGGTAAGTTTACAGAGAAAAGGAAAGACAGAAAAATCTTTCATCCACTAGTTTACTTCTCAAATGGCCACAGCAGACTGAGCTGAGATGATCCAAAACCAGGAGCCAGAAGCTTCTTCTGGGTCTCCATGAGTACTGGCTCCCAAGGCTCTGGGCCATTCTGTCCTGCTTTCCCAGGCCACAAGGAGGAAGCTGGATGGGAAGTAGAGGAGCCAGGACATCATGATGTCCATATTCGATGCCAGCACTTACAGGTGGAAAATTAGTAAATCGAGCCATAGTGCCGGTCCCAATTAAAAAAAAAAAAAAAAAAAAAAAGATGAAAAGCCAAGAATAATTTTCTAGGTTTCACTCTAACATTTTCTTCTCATCCATAACTGCTAGGGATGGCACTGTGGCAAAGTGGGTTAAGCCGTGGCATGCAACACTGGCATCTCATACTTTCCCATTTCTCACCCAGCTCTGTTAATGCAGGGGAGGAAGTGGAAGATGGCCCAAGTTCTCGGACCCAAGCCACCCACACTGGAGACCTAGATGAGTTCTAGACATTGAGTTTCAGCCTGGCCCAGCCCAAGTCACTGAGACCACTTTGGGAGTGAACCAGCAGACAGAAGTTACCTCCTCCTCTCTCCTTACCTGTCTGCCTATAATTCCGCCCTTCAAAATAATGAATAAAATAAAATAATGAATGAATGAATGAATAAAATAGCCTGGGGTGAGCATTAAGATATTTCGCAGGTTCATGCATCCCAGATGGAGTGCCTCGGTTAGTCTCTTCTCTGGTCCTGTACCCAAGCTCCATTGCTTGGAGACAGCAGGTGACCTAGACTGAGGCTCTGCCTCCTGCCTCAGCCTACCTGCCCTGCAGCACCAGGGATAAAGCAACAAGGTGCATGCACTTTATACTCCTAATCTATGCTGGCTGGCAAACGTTTTGTCCTAAAAGCTGTGACAGGTAGAGCACTGTATATGTAACCCTGCAAACCTGAGAGAAAAAAAGCAAATGAGGAAAAAAAAAAGGCAGTAAAGACAAGGAAGAAAAAGGTTGTAAAGAGAGTAGACAGATGGTCAGAGGTGCCATAGGGAGCAGCAGTACTCCAGGCTGACGGTCTCCATTTCTGCGCGCTCACACCTTGCACCAGGCAGCCTCCGTCTGCTTGGTTCGTGTCTGGTCCGGTGCTGCTCACTCCTCTGCTTCCCTCTCCTCATGTTCCATTCTCAGCCCTTCCTAAGGCTGACGACTGCTGGCTAAGCTTCCGCAGCGCCTCCCGAGGGCCCGTCTCTCATTCCTCCACACAGCTTCACCCCCAGCCTGAAGCATGCACAGAATGCTAGGCCTCCACTCTTCCTCACCTTCCCAACTGCTTTTCAGCTTTTAACTCAAAAAGCAAAGATTTCTGAGACAACATGAGACCCTACTTTGCATGAATTGGTAATGATATAACAATATTTACTACTCCTTTGTTTAAATATTCCCCCTAAAGCACATAGACGTGAAAAAAGGACAATTAAGTTGAGGGGAGGTTAGGGTGAACTTAGCCTAGCAGATCTGATATGCACCCCATATCAGAGTGACTGCATTTGGGAACCCAGCTCCATTTCCAGCACTCTGCGATCAGCCATGATGCACAGGTCGCTGGGGCCTTGCCCCATGCTACCAAACCTGGACTGAGTTCCTGGCTCTCAGATTCGGTTTGGCTCTGCCACAGCTATTGGAGACATTTAGGGAATGAGTCAGTACATGGGAGCCCCGTCTGTGTGGGTCCTTTACTCCTTCTCAAACAAACACATACATGTAATCACTGAATACTAAAAAAGCTTCAAAAGGCTTCACAGGACACTCCAAACTGGAATAGAAACTTTGGTCTTAAGTTGCGACACAGCTTTACATTACCTGGCTTTTCTTCCTCCCCTTCAGCAAGCTTGCTTTTGGGAGGAGTTTCTCGTGTAGAATTCACAGCTCGACGAATTGGCATGGTGCTATCTTCCACCTTCTAAATAAGAAAAGACATGGTAATATTCAAAAGTGCATCCAAAAATTTTTTTCTCAAGGGGCCTAACTGCGTGCCAGAAGTTGAAGGAGAATTCTTCAAGTTAACTCCAGGATCTGAGGCTAATTACTTTTAACGAATCCTCCCCCTCCCGCCACCAAATTAATTATGATATTTAGAAAGTAATTCCAAAAATAATTTTCAAATAAAATTCCAAGTGGAAACAAATAATTATACTTGACTGGAATAAATTTAGAAGGCTGGAGGCTTTTTCAGAAATTGGGGGAAAGGAAAGAAGAAAAGAACTTTTAAACTACTGTAACAGAGTTTTTCAGATTCACAGCCTAGATGCCCCAAAGCAGGGGAAGGAACATGTACCAAGAAAGACCCAGCAAGGCCTGAAGTGAGGGATTGATCCAAGAGTGAGCTTCAAGAATGTGTCAGCCCCTACCTCACCTAACTTGTCCGCGTGGATCAGCTGAGCTCCTACTATAAGTGGGAGTGCCTTAGGATGGACGAGTTCACCTTGAGACGTATCAGTCGCCATTTAAAATAATTTCTAGGCCCGAGTACAGGTTACACTCTGAAACCTCTGCTGTTAACCACAAGGATTTTTCCTAAATCCTTGGAGAGTCAACCTAAAGCACAGAAAAGACCTGGTGTGAAGATTAACAGGAACAAAACTACACTAAAATGTCTAAATGTAATATATATCCAAAGGGGGAAAAACTATAAAACTTATAGGTAAGCAACAGATGACTTAGTTGTTAATCTGAAAGATAACACCGCTATCAAAATAGTCTACATAAAGCAGCGACTAAGACAAATGCGTAAGCCACAGCAGCTGCTGCACCTGCCACGGGGACTGAAGCAAGAGGGACAGAGTGCACCCGAGGAACCTGAGCCCACACCCTCCGACCTCAGCACGTAGGAAGCCACAGCAGTGACAAAGGAGGAGGAGTTAGTCAAATGTCTAGTCAAAGATCAACTGACTGAGAAGTCTTCTGCTGTCACTGTTCTCAAAGGGGTCAAGAAAATTAAGTATAAGCTTAAATCTATGACATTTCTTTCTCTATTAAGGGAAAACACATGGATAAAAATACTGCCAGGGAACATGAAATTCTAAGAGCATCCACAGACCTAAAGGAATAAACCTGCACTATCGCCTAGAATTATGCTTCTAAGACTATCAGCTTTTTAATACAAGTAAAACAGTACATAAGATAACTATTTGAAGGTAAAAGCCATGGAGTTGCTCAAATTGACCCGATCATTAAATACTCCCCCACCCAAAAAAATCTGCTATTTTATAACAAAAGTCTCATAAAATGATCATTTAAGTGTTTAGATATCTGTGCTAATTAAAAAAGAGTTTTGAGAATGGCATACTATTCAATTCCTTTAAGCTCAAATTCCGAGAATTTAAGACCTCCCAACTTGTCAGGTTAATAGTCCCAAATGGGCCCAGCACCAATTCGTGCCCCAGCTGCTCCACTTTCCATTCAGCTCCCTAGGAAAGCAGCAGAGGATGGCCCAAAGCTTTGGGGATCCTGCACCTGAATGGGAAACCCAGAAGAAACTCCTGGCTCCTGGCTTCAGATCAGCTCAGTGGCAGCCGTCAAGGCTACTTGGGGAAAGAACTACCCAATGGAAGATCTTTCTCTCTGCATCTCCTCTGTAAATCTGCCTTTCCAATAAAAATCAATCAATCTTAAAAAAAAAAAAGTTCCAAATGATGACCAACTAGAATAGTTTCAAAAAAAAAATCATGGAGAATGCTGTTATATTTCCAGGGAAAATCTTATGGACACCAGAAACAATTCCTGCCAGCTAAAAAGAAGGCCGCTGAAGAGTTCAAGATCATACAGTGCAACAAACTATCAATAGTGAATAATCACAAACATTTAAAATTAACTGTTTAAAGAAAAGTAAAAGATTTCATGTGGCAACTCATTTCAAGAAACTGAAAAGCTTAAGGGCCAGTGCTGTAGTCCAGCAGGTTGGGCCGCAGCCTGGGACTCTGGCATTACCACGAGCACCTACCAGTCTCAGTGCTCCACTTACAATCTAGCTCTCTGCTCAGGCGCCTGAGAAAGCAGCAGAACACACCGCAAGTCCTCGGCCCTGCCGTCCACGTGCAAGACCCAGACGGAGTCCCAGGCTTCTGGTGTCTCAGCCCAGAACCTGCAACCATTTGGCAAGTTTATCAGTAGATGGAAGTTACCTTGTCTCTCTAATTTTCCCTTTCAAATAAATGAAAACATCTTTAAAACAATTGCAAAATACAGAAATGAAAATAGTTGCTTACTAATCTGTGAAAAGAAAGCCAAGATGAACTCACACTTACTTAGGTTTGTGAAAAGTAAAAATCCATCCTGAGATAATGTCAAATCATAACCCTGCTTATTAACCCAACCAGGACTCTTACACAGTTAGCCCTTGATAGTAAAATAAAACACAAGCACCCAAATCCTAAGCAAATCTATTTTTTACAAACACTACATACAATACAGTAAGTCACATCCTTACTAAACTGGTACTGAACTCATTGGATAAATTAGTCATTATTGACAGTAACACTGCTGAAAACACTACCAGCGAAGTCAACAAAACCTCAGTCACAGGCAGCTTTGGGATGAAAAACATTATTCCTGAGGAGTGGGCTTCGTAGCACGGCAGGTTCACCTTAACCTGGGATGCTGGTTCAAATCCTGACCACTTCGTATTCAATCCAGCTTCCTTGTGGGAGATCAGAACAGAGTTCCTGGCTCCCGGTGCCCCTGGCCAGCCCTAGCTGTTGTGGCCCGGTGCCCTTGGCCTTCCCTAGCTGTTGTGGTTATCTGGAGGCTGAACTAACAGATGCAAGAGCTCTGTCTCTCCTACCTCTCAGTCACATTTTCAAATCAACACATTTTTAAAAAGTTTTAAAATCTGAAAGGTGCTGAAAAATGTCAAAACATTTCCACACAATTAATTATTCAAAATTCAAACAAATGGTTTTTGAAGGGAGAAGCACAGAAAGTTACTCAATATCAAACTGTCAAAACTGACTGAAAGTAACAAGGAACAGGTTCATGGTCCATGATGACATCATTCTTAATTTAAGGACAAAAATGATAGCTTAAATTTAAGCTAAACCAGATAAAAAAAAAAAAGCATGTCCAGGCTGGACTAATTTGGTTTGCCCATTTCCCTGCGTGCATTCAAAAAAGAAAAAACCAAAACAAACCCAACATCCTCCTGCTACCTCCCCCCAAATCAAAACCAGCCCTCCTCTACCCCCTTGGCTGCCGGCACACACAGCTTTCAGAACAGCCTCCTGCACAGGCTGTTCACACTTGGCCTTCTCGGAAACTGCAGCCTCACTCAGGGTTCTGCCCACCATCACCCCTCACTCAGCCACTCATTTTCTTTTTTTTTTTGGTTTGTTTTTGTAAAAGATCTTCTATCCACCAATTCACTCCCCAAGGGGCCACATGGCCAAAGCTGAATCAATTGGAAGTCAAGAGCCAGGAGCTTCAAGTCTCCCACGCAGGTGCAGGGTCCAAGGCTTTGGGCCATCCTTGACTCCCATCCAAGGCCACAAGCAGGGAGCTCAATAAGCAGTGGAGCAGCCAGGATACAAACTGGTGCCCATGTGGGATCCCGGCGGATGCAAGGCAAGGACTTTAGCTAGTAAGGTTACCAAGCTGGTGGGAATCTCCACCTGCAGACAGTAAAAAGCTTGCTAATATACTTGGTCAGCTTCTGCCAAGACAACCTCAAGTGGAACTAGAGGTTCAGTGAGTCTAGAGCAAGCTAACTTTCCGGTTGATAGTTGTGCATGACCCTTGGATGATTTTCTAAGTACCCAAAATGGTCCTTGGCAACACACACACACACACACACACACACACACACACACACACACATTTCCTACCCATGCTTAATAACACACACACACACACACACACACACACACACATGCACATTTCCTACCCATGCTTAATACTTCACACCTCCTAAACTTCCATAGCCGCCCGTTGGACTGCTGTGTCTCTCCCAGTGACATGCGAAGACATGAGGACTTGAGACCCCCCACTTGCACCTGAACAGTGTGAGACACACCATGGTCTAAGAAGTCGCTGCGAAGTTGAACCAACAGTAACATCTGACAGCACTCTGAAAAACGGTATGCAACATGAGAGTACTGCAAAAAGTTCACACAAAACAGAATTTAAAGCATGACTATTCTGATGCAATTTTTCATAATTCATGGAAAATATGAATTATGGAGAAAAAACTACACATGATTTTCAACCATTTTGCACCAAAATAAACTATTAATTCTATTTTCCCACAAACTTTGGAGAATGCTAACAAAGCACTACTGGTGCTATGAAATGTTTGCAGGTCTGCATGGTGGCTTAGTGGCTAAATCTTCATGTTGCATCCACAGGGATCCCACATGACTGCCAGTTCAGGGGCCAGCTGCTCCATTTCCCATCCAGCTCCCTGTTTGTGGCATGGGAGAGCAGCAGAGGACAGCCCAAAGCCTTGGGACCTGGAACCCTGCCTCAGCAAGGGAGACTCACAAGCAGCTCCTGCCTCCTGTCTTTGGATTGGCTCAGCTCCTGGCTGCTGTGGCCACTTGGGGAGTGACCCAGTGGACATTACATCTTTCTGTAGATGTGCCTTTTCAACTAAAAAATCATCTTAAAAAGAAAAAAGAGGGCCCGGCACGGAAGCCTGGTGGCTGAAGTCTCGCCTTGCACACACTAGGATCCCATATGGGCATTGGTTTGTGCCCTGGCAGCCCCGCTTCCCATGCAGCTACGTGTTTGTGGCCTGGAAAAGCAGTCGAAGACAGCCCAAAGCCTTGGGCTCCTGCACCTGCTTGGGAGACCCGTAGGAAGCTCCTGGCTTCGGACCGGCCCAGCTCTGGCCGTTGTGGTCATTTGGGGAGTGAATCATCGGATGGAAAATCTTCCTCTCTGTCTCTCCTCCTCTCTATAACTGACTTTTCAATAAAAACAAATAAATCTTCGAGGGCATCCTCCTCTAGCCCTTTTCTGGGCAACACGCTCCTGCAGGGCAGAGCGGACAGCTCCAAGCGCAGCCCCGCCCGACCCGCACAGCTTCCCTGCCAGCGCTTGGTGTCCGAGAGGGTAGCAGGCACAGAACCGGCCGTCAACACACACTCTGCTGAACACCGTAAACCAAAGCCGCGTCTGTTTGTCACCCAGATTGTTCTACATGTCAAGAACAAGTCGTCAGGCGTGCTTGTGGTTTGCGTGCTCGGCCCTCCTCGGTTGGTTTCACTTTTTTTCTTCCCCTAAACTTTACATTAACAACACAAAGATCTGTTTTTTGGCAAAGGAAACGCTTAAGCCATCTTAATGCAGGCGACAAAGGCGTGTTCACGTGAAAAAGTCCAAAAAACTTGAGAGCTATAGTCCCTTTGTATTAAGGAACTCGTGTATTTCGGTTTATTAGTATCTTCAACCAGCACGACATTGGGTAGCACACCAGGCCACACAGGTTCCGCAGGGAACCCTTCCCAGCGCCACGGGCGGCCCCTCCTCTCGCGCTCAGCAGCCTAACTTTCATCTGCATTTAGGAACCTTCCCACTCCTACGCAGCTCTCAGCGTCCCAAGCCCAGACACCTCCGAAACGTCACGCCAAGGAGCACCAGGCGCTTTACGAAAAGCCAGGTCCCCTACCCAAGTGGCGGCTGTCCCGCCTCCCCGGCTCCGGCCGAGCCCACGAGCCCCCCGACCCCGGGACTGCCGCGACCCCTCCTCACACCGCCTGTCACCCGCCCCGGCACGGCAGCAAAGCAGCGACAGCCAAGCCACGAGAGGACGGCGCGGCGGAGAGGAAGCCGGCGGACAGGAGCGCAGCCAAACAGAAGCAGCGAGGCGGCGAGCGGGGCAGCGGGCAGGGGGACGCGCGAGGGGACCGAGGCGACAGGGCTGCGCAGAGCGGGGACGCCAGAGGCCCGGGGGCCGCTGCACGCACTCACCACTGGGAGCTCCGTAATGGCGGCGGCGGGGGCGGAGAAGCCGGGGGTGGGGGGCGGGCCCGCCGCAGCCACTCACCGCCGCCGGCATCTTTCGAACCCAAAAACCGCTGAGGGCGTGAGGGCGAGGGGAGGGCGAGCGAGGCGGACGCCCGGCCACGGAGAGCCCGCGGCGCAGGCGCCAGCGCGCGGCCAATCAGCGCGCAGGGCAGTGCGTCCACGCAGGCGCGCTGCGCCCCGGGAGGGGGAGGTGATAAAGGGGGTGGCGCGCACGGCCCGGGAAGAGCTCCCCCCCAACCCCCCCCCAACCCCGCAACTCCAAACAAAACAAGGGCGGGCGCGCGCGCGCCGGAGGGCCCCGGGGGAGGCGTCGACGAGCCGGGCAGGGGGCTCGGGCGCACGGGGAGGGGGCGGGGCGGCTCCGGGAGGCTGACAAAAGGCGCCTCCTCCCAGGCCGCGGGCGCCCCGCCCCCTCCCCTCGGGGCTAGGCAGCGCCCCCGGAGCGAGCGGGCCTCCGCCACCGGCCTTCGCGGGCACCCGGCGCGCCCCGAGGCCCCTGGCCGCCCGCCCGCCGCTTCCCGTGCTGCGTTACCTCTGCGCTGCCCCCGGCTCGGCGCCCGCGTCCCGCACGGCCTCCCGCCGCCGCCTCCTCCACCTCCGCCGCCGTTCGTCGCCGCCGCTCCGCTGTCCTGCAGGCCCGGCTGCCGAGCTCCGCCGCCCCGCCCCCCTGCACGCGGCCCCGCGCGCGCGCGCGCTCCCGGCCCCGCCCCCCCGCGCCCAGGGAGCGCGCGCACGGGCCACGGGACCGCGCTCGGGGGACGGGCGCGCGCGCCGGCTGAGGCGGGGCGAGCTGGGGCGGACGTCGCCGAGGACTCGCCAGCCGTTCTCTGCCTGTCACTTTCTCTGTCCTCCAGTTGTTCCTGGACCGTGTGACTGCTTTCCGAGGATGGCGTGTCGCGCTCCGGCTCGCCAAGCCCGGGGAGGGTCAGGACGGTCAAAAGCATCCAGGTCAGGGCCTCGTTTCTGTTCCGGTTAGGGCGCCGGACAGTGTACAGCGGAGCAGGAATTCGGGACTGAGTACTGGCCATTCCTTCTCTGACTGCCCAAAACAGCCTTCTGGATTCCCAGATAGGAAACTGGAGCCAGAAGAGAGCGGATTTCCTTGGAATTGTCAGAGTAGATTGTGGCTGGACAGTCTGAGAAGATGCGGTGGGAAGCCGCAGGTTTTTGGCAGTATTGCCTGTCTGCGAGGCATGTAGTGGTGGCAGGTGAAGACTGCAGGGAAATGATGCCCGTGGGCGGCGCCAGCCTTTCTGAAGACTGGCGAGCTGTGCATGCACGCACCATCCTAGTGCCCTGGCTTTTCCATCGGCCTGAACTTCTCACCGGTTCCTCCAACCAGCTTTCCGCCAACGAAATTTCCTAAGGAGTTGTCTGATCACGTTGTACCATTTTTTACTTTGTTTAAGGTCACAGATAGAGACTATCTAGCGTTTTAAAAAAGGAGACCTGACGACCCGGTGTAATGGCTGAATTGGCTAATCCTCCCTTTTTAAGGGTTAGGATCCCATATGGAAGTTGGTTAGTGTCCCAGTTGCTCCAGTTCCAACCCAGCTCCCTGCTTGTGGCCTGGGAAAGCAGTGGAAAACGGCCTAACCCTTGGGGCCCTGCACCCATATGGGAGAACTGGAGGAGGCTCCTGGCTCCCAGCTTTGGATCCACTCAGCTCCTGCCGTTCGGGGCATTTGGGGATGGAAGACCTTTACATCTCTCCTTGTCTCTCCATAAAGTCTACCCTGACAGTAAAAATATAGAAATAATTTTTAAAATGTATGCTCTGAAAGGCCACGTGACAAAGAGAAGCCCCCCCATGTGCTCACACATTCTGCAACAGCCTCACCTGGGTCTCTTAGAAGGTGGCAGGGACTCAAGTTCTTGAGCCTTCACCTGCTCCCCTCCACACACACACACTCCACACACACACACATTGGCAGGAGGCTGGGTCAGAAGCAGATGAGCCAGGACTGGGCACCAGCGTTCCAGGGTGGGATGCGGCAGCCCAGGCAGTGGTGTAACCCTACACCCATCTTACTTCGTCCTTACTGCCTCTGGTCTCAGCCTCCCCCTTTAAAGAATATTCCAAAGGTCCTCGCCTTGCACGCCGGGGATCCCATATGGGTGCCGGTTCTAATCCTGGCAGCCCCACTTCCCTTCCAGCTCCCTGCCTGTGGCCTGGGAAAGCAGTCGAGGATGGCCCAAAGCTTTGGGAACCTGCGCCCGCGTGGGAGACCCGGAAGAGGCTCCTGGCTTCGGATCGGCATAGTATCGGCCCGTTGCGCTCACTTGGGGAGTGAATCATCGGACGGAAGATCTTCCTCTCTGTCTCTCCTCTCTGTATATCTGCCTTTCCA